CTTCTTCTCAAGCACAGGCGTCTGCACTCCCGAAACATCCCCACTCGTCATCTCCCCAACAATCATGCCCTTTCTCCTTCCCCTCTTCCCCATAATATCCAACACCATCATCCTCACCGTCCTCACAATACTCTCCCGACCCTCATACAACGGGAAAATGACCACCCCGAAAGTCGTGCAGAAAAGCCAAATCAGACCGACAACGACCCAACCCGTAAATAACTTCTTGCTGAAGACATACGAGCTGCCATACATAGGGATGGGCCAGAGAATGAGAAAGCAGAGGACCATGAAGATGGTCAAGGTGCGGGAGTAGAGAGCGGCGCGGTTGAGTTTGCGTGTTTCTTCTTCCTCCTGGGCGGCGGACTGGGTGTTGATTTCGCCGGGGATGAGTTCGATGTCGATGTGAGCGGCTGCTGCTACGTCGGCGTCGTCGACGCGGCGAATGGCGCGCATGGTGCCGTAGTCGTAGTTTTGAGAGCCGAAGATGAGGGTGAGGATCGGGGAGAAGATCACGGGGCTCAGGAGGGCGGCGACGTTACCGGCGAGCATTGGGTAGCTTTTAACTATGTTAGTTGATTGTTTGAGGAGGGAAGGTGTGGGGATGGACTCACTTTGCGCCGGTTGTGGTGACGGTTAATATGCCGTATTGTTTCTTGGTTGTCACGAGCCAGGCGATAAGGGAGACCGCAAGACCGAGGGGTGGCGAGGCGGCTGCTGCGATCCAGTTCTGGTGCTTCCAGATGAGGGACATGGCGCCGGGGAAGACTGCAGAGGAGATGATCACGCCCATCAGCAGATAGAGGTAGCCCATTCCGATACCAGCGTAGTAGAGACCGGTGGAGAAACCGGCCATGGCGATGGCCCAGAACACACAGGTCATGTGCGAAACCCAGACGAGACGCTTGCCCTTGGCGGATGGGTCGATGTAGGCCTGGTAGATATCGTAGGTGAAGATGGATGAGACAGCAATCAGCTGGGCGGAGAAAGCGGAGGTGACTGCCATGAAGATCATGATTGTTGTGCATACTGCGCCGCTGTAGCCGAGAAGCTTGACGGCGGCAAAGGGCAGGACAAGACCGGCTGTGACGTCGTCGGGGCTCAAGCGCTGAGTGCCCTCCAGAGAGAGAGCAGTCATGCCCAGAGTGCTGGCGCACAACCAAGGGATTGCGAACCAGCAAAGACCACCAATGACATATCCGGGAAAAGCGTGCACGGGGCTTGCGGCAATAGCTTTGTTGTAGTACCCGTTGTCGAGGAAGACAGTACTGATGGGGTTCGTTAGCAAGTAATTTATACGGAAGTGTGGTGGTTGACATACCCAAAGTTGCCGACCAGGTTGATAATCCAGAAGATGCCACCCTCCTTCGACCTCATGGTCAGATAGCTTCCCTCTGCATTGCCGTCAACTGGGTGGAGCTTCGATGCTGCTACTAGTGCATCATAGACAGCTCCAGGGGAGCCAAGCTTGTCGCTAGTCGCGTAGGCAGAGAATGCAAAGATGAAGATGACGACAATAATCACGACGGTATGCAAATAGTCCGTGATGAATGTCGCCTTTATACCACCAAACAGGGTGTAGAGCACGACACCAATTGGCAGGAGGAAACAGGCAGCAACTGTATTAACTCCCGTGAGAGACGTCAGGACGGCAGAACCTCCGGTAAGCAGCATGGCAGTAACGAGAATGTTGGTCATTAGGCAGAAAACGATGAAAACAACATGAACAACGGTTCCGTATCGAGCACGGAGTGCTTCGAGGAAGGTATGCGCATTTGGAGCCCTCCGCTTGAGCTCGATGGCCAGTGTAGCGAACAAGATGATCTGGACCGTAGCACCTGTATCACCGAATCAGAATGATATTGACCGTATTGTTGCTGGCTGTAAGTACCTGATGCGTAGAAGAAAGGGCCCGAGATGCCGTACTCGTAAGCCACAGTAGTCGACTGAAGAAGAGTTGCAGCCCATGTCCAACTACTGACAACTGCCGCGGCAACCAAGCCCGACTTGACTGATCTTCCAGCCGTTGAGAACATTTCCGATGTCTGCACTTCATTCTGGTATCTACACAAGAACCGTAAGTCCCGCTAGACTCCAAAGCTTGAAGGGGCCAAAGGCCATGGTTGAAATGGGATTAGACTACATACCTCTTCAGAGCCCAGGTGATAAAGATCATAAGCAGGGCAAAGGCAAAGCCCAGACCAATGATGATGCCATATCCAAACCCTTGCGAGAGAGGCGCTGTGAATGTGACTGTGTCTGAAGACATGTTGGCAGCGTATGAACACGCGAAGCGATGCCTTGCTATGGCTGTAGGATGACTGAATGAGACAAGATCTTGAGCATGGCGGCAGAGGCAAGAACATATAAGGCACGGGACCCTTGAAAAATCTCCGACCTCGCAGACACGCTGGTGATCGGCGGGAAGTCCATATTGAATCAATGACTACCGATCCAATATCATTGGATCCGAGGAGTCAGGCCTGGGGAAGCGAATGGCTGATAAGAGCAACTCCTGGTGGTCGTTTCGTAATGTGCTTTCATCAGATGGGAGTGTAACATTAATGGCAGTGGACTAGCTCCAGGGAGTTTAGTACCGAGCAATCTAGTCAGTGCCATCGTTCCACAGTTCCATTCGCATACACATGGATTATCCCATGGCCCCTCCACTTCCTTTGCACGAAAATGAACAGCCGAACCCCAAGTGGGTTATCAACGTATCAAGCCCGGGCAGCTCATTGGCGAGGCGGAAATGCTTCTTATCAGCGGAGGTCAGCGCAACGACGCCCATTGGCCCGAGTTGGGAGCGGACGATGATAAGAAACCGTAGACTATCAGATAAGGATGTCAGCCAAGTCATGGATTGGTTTGTTGGTGCAACCTGTCGCTCTGCCAAGAGCTCCATGGCTTTATGGGGAGCAGACTTGATGATAGCGCTCTATCAGTTACTACTTTACTTACTCGATCCTGCCACTAATGCTTTGGGGGTCTACCCCACTGCTCTTGGTTTTGAAACCGGGGAATTTCCATCGTGCTTCCATCCCTGTAATTGGTGGGTGTCTGAGTAGGAACCAACTGATCTTGCTTTGCATCTGAGGTATGCCAGATCTCAGTACTGTGCGTAGGGCAGACCTTGCTTGTGTGAATATGTCATCCACGTGTACTTCACCTTAGGCCATTCTTAGTATGTGGATTGATCTACTTACTAATATATATCTAATGCTATTGTATCGTCCTTTACTGGGGGGCATGTGTGCATAATATATACATCACCTGTGCTAGTGTTGAATAGTCCTTTAAATGTCATAGTAGTTCTCTGGCAGTTGGGTGCCCATGTACATGTGACATTATCACTCAGTATAATCTATGGGTCTCGGTGTCAGGACTCTCTACACTGGCACTGTATATATTCAAACAATATACTAGGCCTCCTACTAAACCACCAAGACTGACACTACTACTGCAATGATCTAATCATCTCACCACCGTATAAGTTGAGCTAGTATTCCTTGCTAGCCATGACTCACGCCAGTTCAAGCAACTATACATCAGCACTAGCACCAAGGTACCTTCACCATCACATAAACATTCATAGCCCACCACAACCAGAACCAAACCATCTACCACCACCACAACAACAACATGACCACCGAAATCTACCAAACCAACAACCTCACCATCTCTCTCTCCCACCACCCAACAACACCCGGCCACACCATCGCAACCCTAACCAATACCACCACCCCCAAGACCACACTCTTCGCCCTCCCCAAGTCCACCTTCATCTCCACCCTCGTCACCCTCCGCACCATCATCCCCTCCCTCAAATCAACCTACCACACCCCCCGCATCGCCTTAATAACCTCCGGCAACACCACCCTTTCCCTCCTCCCCCTCCACGGCCTCACCTCAACCTGGACCCCGATAACCAGTCCCGAAACAACCTTCAACGACCCTCAATCCTCCTCCCACCCCCAAAGCTACATAACATCCAAATCCGGCCCCCGCATGCCCTCCGCCCACCTAACCCACATAGCCGACACCATCACCACCCACACCCCATCCACCCCCAACTACACCTTCCACGGCCCTTCCTCAGACACCAACCTCTTCGCGAACATAATCCGGGGCACCGAGCACCCTCAATGGCGTATCTGGGAGGATGAGTCCCATGTAGCCTTTCTAACGCCTTATCCGAACACGCCCGGGTTCACGGTGCTAGTGCCGCGAACACATTTGGGGAGTGATATATTTGCCCTTGGGGAGGAAGACTTTGAAGGGTTGATGGGCGCGGCGTGGACGGTTGGACGGGTGTTGATGGAGGCGCTGGGAGTGGGGAGATGTGGGATGGTGTTTGAGGGGTTGGAGGTGGATTATGCACATGTCAAGCTGGTTCCTGTCTATGGGGACGGGGAGGATGATGGTGGGGAGAGGGAGGTTTTTCGTGAGGTGTATCCTGGGTATGTGAGTTCTTTGCCTGGGCCGGAGGTGGGGGATGTGGGGGAGTTGGTGAGGAGGGCTGGGGAGATTCGTCAATTGATTGCTGCGCAGGAGTAGGGAGGAGATGGGGGTGTGGTTGTGGGTTTGTTTGATTTAATTAATTGATATAAGGATCGGGGTGGGTTTTCATCGAGTCTCGTTTTCATTGACAAGCACTATATTACACAAAACGCATTTCTTCACGGAACTAGGGCTCTCCATTAATTGTTGATGGGCACAAGTGCACGGCATAATTTAGCGATAATTGTTCCATCCTATTCTGCAGATAGATTTGGACCAATTGTAGAAGCACAAGATCGGCATGTGCCTTCCCCACTACCAGCACACACAAGAAAGAGGCAAGGGACACCAGGGGTATATGTATCGAAGGGCAAAAGGTTGGATGATGGATTCGCTGGCCTCGCTTGATCCCTGCGCTGCTGATCTCGCGCGCGACCCCGAATCATTCGACACGAGCCAGACATATCACGTATAATAGGACCAGGAGACAGCAACGGGGCGAGAGTACAAGTCGCATTTCAGCGGCTTATGAGGAGAACTTGCGGGTGATCTTGGCAATGACTGGATATGCGCGTTAGAGGCCACTTCACCACCCAGAAGACAACCCGGAAAGCACACTTACCGTGGAGACCAACGACGGAGAAAATGAAGCCCAGACTGAGAACCAGGACAACAACGGGGTCAACCCTTAGACCGGGGCTCTCGTCAGTGTAGAGCTTGAGCATCGTGCCGGAGGAGCCACCAGCACCGGCGGCGCGAGTCGAGCTGGGTCTGGCATTGCGGAGGGACTCCTTATGGTCAGCGGCCGCGCGGCGACGCATAGCAGCCCGGGGACCACCAGGAGGAGTAGGAGAGGAAGGGCGGTTGACGGAGGAGACAGCAGAGGCGCCGGTGCCAGCGCCAGCAGACTTGGAGTCGGGACCGGACTCAGCACCGGAGGTCATGGGGGAAGCAGCACGGGGAGAGGCCTGAAGAGAATACAGACGTTAGATGAGGTTGCCCTTAGTCTAATTGACTGAAGTTGTCACAATTCGTCGATGGTCTGGTTGAGTTCGCTTGGGAGACAACGGTAGCCACCAAGAGGATCGGCAGGACAAGGGTGCTCACCATTTTGAAGAATAAGGAGATTCAAGAAGATAAGAATCAAAGAAAGTGAAGCTGAATTAAACAACAATGACAACAAGAAGCAAGGAAGCAATTGGCCGATGAAGAGGGAAGGAGTCGGCTGAAGAGTAGAAGAGGAGGAGATACTGGTAGGAGGTCCGGGAGGTGAGGTCGCGAGATGCCAGAAAGAGGCCACGCTCACGATTTCCAGCTGGCGGAAGGTACCGTCATTTACGGTAATGCCAAGACCTCTACTTTGAGAAGTGTAGCTTATTTAACATAAAGTTGCTGTAACTTTCACAACAAATCCGATGTGGTGTAACGGCTAACATCGCCGTCTTTCACACGGCAGCTCGGGGTTCGATTCCCCGCATCGGAGTTCTCTTTTTGATTTTTGTCTTCATTCCTTCCTTTCCGTTTAACCTTTTTATGTGATGTCCCTTTTTGCACTTGGTTTTTACATATGGCTAGTGTGGTGTAATTGTCATTATTCCTGATCTCAATAAGCCACAGTGTACTTTGATCGACTACAAAGCGAGGCTCTGAAGCTCCACTGGCCCATGAGTCTCTTAACCCTTCGCTCTCCACTACAAATTCTAGACCTTGAAGCTACATAGGTTGTGACGATCTCGGGTCTAAAGTTTGTAGACTGCCAGATGTTGTGCGCCCGGTGAACAGAACCTTGGATCAGATCTCGACTCCACTCCACAATCAGGCAGGTCAGCTCCGACGAAGTGATGCTTTAGGTACGGATAGTCTACGGCTAAAAGGGGCAAAACCACGAGCCCTATGCGTGTCCCTGAAAACACTGTGGAGCAGTTCAGTCTCGCGCGGCTGATTTATCCATTCTTGCGGAGCAGACTCGTTTGTCTTACCCGCCACTCACGTGGAAAATTCATTCTTAAGTTGAACCAGCAGAGATCCGGCCCATGGATGCCATTCCAGAACCGCTGGCAGGCAGCCACATAGACGCGACAGCCGTTGGAAGAGTTCTCCTGACATGACGACCAATTAGAACAGGCTCTCCACTCGCCGAGCTAGAGTGTAGTTTTAAAGCGTAGAGAAGACAGCCCTTTAGTGTCATGACTTCAGACAAGCCTGAGTGAGACCTGTGTCGCCATAGCAATACTGCAATCTGTGACGACGGAAAATCTTGGGTGTTTTTTACATTGCCGTTGTTTCACCGGGGGCACACTAAGCACGTCGAATGGCACATGGAGCAAGCAGCAAGGGGTGGGAGGGGAAAGCGCACTAAAATAGCCACACGACACTGTCTTAGAAGAATTCATGGGCTCACAGACCTGTGGCTTTCAGCACCTTGGTTTGAGAACCGCATTGGTGCTTGTGCTTGCATACATGGTGAGACCGGAGTCACCGAAATCAAAGAGGTTTCCCAAGTAGATGAAAGACTTTTTGCTCCGTATCTGCTCTTGGAGATACACGTTATCAAGTCTAGCTAATTCGTCGGTACGGCGTCGACTCCGACAATAAGGTTAGATGGGTACGTAACCTGGCGTGAGAAGAGGCTTAAATGTCGTTATGCGTCTGCCTAAGGCAAATTTTGTCGACCTAGACCTCTTCCAGGTGCTTCATGATTCACTGCAGAAGCGAGGCAACGACAAAATCACTCTTCTTCTTTACTGACTGAACGAGGAACTGCTGACCATGCAGAGGTTGCCATGCACCCAAAGTGACACCGCACATTGTACTAGGTTTCAGGAAACTGAGCCACGGATCTGGTCTGATCTGAGCCGGCCACCACAAATTTGGCCCCAATTCTGGCCCCGTTCCATCTCCGGGGCAAAGGGAAGCCGTCTGGCGCGCGCTAGTCTAGATGGGGAGGTAGTTCGGTGCAACGTTTATCTAGTCTGCACACAGTTGACTGCTGTAGATAACTAGTAAACAGTGGAATGGTTGCCTAAGACATCCTCATCCTACGGCGTAGATCTTTCGTAAGCGGGATCTCTCAGGCCGGTATAGTGAACAACAACTCAGATATGGTGAAGTTTATGGATCTGATTCAAAGGCATCGCATGGTGGGCATATTTCCCTACAAAAATGCCGTGGATGTGGATGATTCACATGTAGATCGCATTTCAAACATTCTTCCATCTTATAGTTACGGATCTCCTGCCGTCAGCGATCCATGCTTGCCTATTTTAGACTTTCTTGTGAGCCGTTGGTTTGCAGCTCTTCCGCCACTTAGAAAGGTTGACATTCCCCCATACCCACTGCCATGGTGTATAGAACTGCCGCACTTTGCTGATACAGTTTTTCGACCGATCGGATAACCTAGAGTATCAAGGTAATCCAATTGGATAACAAAGCTCCCGAAATAACGCGATCGATGAATGCCCCAACACCTTGGAATGACTGTTCTGTCGGTACTTCGGTAGCCAGCCCGATAACTATTCTACTAAGAACTGTGTGACTCGGATGCGCCCCTTTGGGGCGAGATGCGAGTAAGTGCACACACAGAAATCCGGAGCTACAATAGTCAAGTAATAATAGGGCTTGAGAGAGGTAACGCGCGGCATTTTACTAGAGAGTTAATAAAATCGTAATCGGGAACCCAGTTTCAAGAGGCAGCCGGTCCATGGGTCCGACCCACTGCGACGCGACGAATTCAGGAGACAATCGAGTCTAGTTCCTTTCTTTCTCGAGTTTAGCCCAGGCACGGGATCCAGTTCTGAGACCCGGAATAACGAATAACAACAATTCACAACAACACACCGAAGGATTGATTTTATCACCACAACAAACACTCATCCCTCCGTAAGCAGAAACCTTAGTCTGTCCTCAGGAAGAAAGGAAAAAAAAAAGGAGCAAGGGAAAATAGTCAAGAACAGCCAAACAAGCTGGAGCATATCTAATCTTCATGTTCAGTACTGACTGAGTAACCAAGACTATTTTCCTCATGAATGGTCCAGGTCCCTCCCGTAATTACCGTGGGTAGATTAAAAGCTTCTTGGCTCTGAGAGGATAATCCCGTGTATAAGCCGAACGCCATGATAAACCATCATAAAATTAGAAGAAAATTGGGCCCAGGACGGGAGTCTGGCACATTTGGGTGAACCCCAACGCAACTTGCTTTGCCGTTAACCGTCGCTTATATGCTTGACTCCGACTAAACTGGGTTGTCATGTAAGGTGTGGGTTAGTTAGTCTTCCAGAGCATCGTCCAACCCTCCTCGGATTTTTGTGATCATCGCTGCTTTTTCCCGCTTTTTCCCTTCCATTGCTGTGTCTGGACTCCCAGCTGAACCCTGGATGCCACATACGCCTCCCCCGACCGAAAAGCAGCCCCCTCCTCCTTCTCCTCCTTCTCTCCAAAAGTGCGTGAGTAATCCGTTTGGAATTGTCTGTTGGTTCACTATTCACATCTCGGGCTTAGCTTGACAGCAGCCTCCGTTTTTCCCTCTGTCTCTCGCTCTCTCATTGCCATTCCACCCATCATCTTCGATCGTTCTTCTCCCAGCCTTCCTTTTCCACCTCTCACATTCATACTTCCTCCTTCCTCCCGACACTCGTTTTCATTCCCCTTTCACCTCCATTGCATTTTTCTCCTTATTCCTTTTCTCTCTTTTCTCCCTCCCCCGGTCTCTCTCTCTCTCTCTTGCTATCCCTCTCTCCGACTGACTCTGGGCTTCGGTTTTGAGTCCGCAGGTGCTCAGCCTTACGCCAACTGACCTCCTCCAATCCCGAACCATCGATCATCGGACTGAGCCTCCCCGCCCAAAGGTAACACACGACAATTCGCACCACGGCTTAACAATCCTACGGCATCCCCCCGAGACTTCCCATCCTCCTCCTTCACCCTGCAGCGAGCCATTCTCCGGGCGCAGATTCCCCTCCACTCGCTCCGTTAGCCCGTCTCGAGTGTGGCTTGGTGTGGCTTATACGCTTGTCGTCGAGTGGTCGTCCCTCGCAGAACCCGTCATCTTCGAGAACTCCGACCTCCTGAACTCCCCCTCCTGACATCCTCAAAAACAAGGCCACGGCCGCAACCCACTCAGATCGGGGTTGTCACCTCCGCGCATCACGAATCTGTATCCTTGATCCTCTACCTGTGCTATATTATCGCGGCCGTCGGGTGGTCGAACCGTCATATTGTATCCCGATCCTGAGCCTCCGACGGACACCAGCTCCGTAACGGAGCACTTCGTCAAGATTTATTCCCACAATTCGCGGGCCTCCCTGCTTGGGGGCACTTTCGATCCATCTTTTAGACGCGGTTTCCGTGCCCGAGAAGGGTATACGAATGTTCCTCCGGACCCCCCAAAGCGACACAGGATGTACCGACCAAACTCGTTATGGACTTGGTCCTTCTGCATTGTCACACTCATCCAGACCATCATTACCCTTGCCCTCGAGTCGTAAGTGTGACTTTTACTACTGTTGAATCGCAGATTTCCGAGTACTTATGCTGATCACCGCGCGAATAGTTATGTCTTCGCAAACTTCCAGATCCAACTGTTCCCAAAGGGCGAGGTCTCGACTGCGTCAAAGACAGTAACAACCTTCTTGGCGCTCTACTGTTTCGGGTTTATATATGAGTTGATCCTCGTTTACGATGCTCTACGTCTCAAGAATACCATTCAAGTCATTGGTCTGTGCGTGTGCAATCTCGGTCTTCTGATTTACGGGGCGGTGCAAGTCCAGCAAATCAAGGACTCCATCGAAATGCTCGTGGCCGAAAGCGCCATCACCATAGACGTGTGGGGGGAGACAGAGCCCTTTCTGATTATCATTCCGTGTGTCGTTGCCATGGGCTCAATTTTGATGATGATCATCGCTTGGAAGCTCTACGATGAATTCGCATGGTCGATCTACAAGCATATCAGCGCCGATCTGCGAATGAAGCGCCGGTATCTTACATATCAGGTACTTCTGCATGTCCGTCGAAGTTGGGACCCGAATCTAACAGGATTTCTAGATCTATATCGCTCTGCTGAAGTTCGATTTCTTCTTTTTCCTCGGTTTTACGGTTCAGTTCCTTGTCATTGTCACGAACAAGACGGATGTTGAATTCGCTCTCACGACGGCTGCCATTCCCGTTACAATTCTTATTCTTGTTTGCGCTGCGATCTTCGTGAAACGAGAGAGCTCGATCGGAATGATCGTTGTCATTGTACGTTGTCCTAGCAGCACATGGGTCTGAATTATCTTCTAACTGGTATCGCAGCTTCTATACTTTGCAGCCATGGCATACTTCCTATTCAAGCTGGTCCGCATGTACCAGCCTCAAACATACCAAGAGTACCTGCCCGCCCGGCGGTCTCTGACATTCTTCGCTGTTATCACGCTTCTCTTGATCGTTTTGACGATCACTAACGCCTGCGTTTGCATGCACAATTTCCACAAAGGCCTGAAGCAGCACGTCCATAAGAAGAAGTCCCGCGACAAGGACGAGAAGACAACTGAGTTGTCTTCCAATATCTCGGGCCAGGTGCCGAATCGCATGATGATCGACTGAGCGACTTCAGCCCCACGTTATGAACCAAACACAACAAAACTTAAAAAAAAAAAAAAAAAAAAAAAAAAAAAAAAAAAAAAAAAAAAAAAAGGAAGACCAAAAATAACAGCAAACTTGCAAATTGGGGGACTTTTCCTTTTCCGATTTTCTAACCACTGCACATTTATTCATGGAGCGATATATCTTTTCTTTAAAGGTTAGCGAGTTGTGCAACAGTCCGCCAGTAGGTGGAACTACTGCTTGGATACTGAGATTGGGCGTGTTTCCGGGATTTACCATATGATACCTCCTACTGCGTTGCTCGGTTTTTTCTTACGAACCTTCGACTGTCTTTCCTTGTTGATTTCCTCGGAGTTTTGTCTGAAGTGGCTGTTCACCCTCCCCGCATCACGCTCTTGCTCAATGACGCGCCGTGTCGCGTCTCATTGATGAAATTTCCTTGTCCATTTATTCCTTTTTGACCATTTCCCCCTTATATCTACATATCTACACCCCCCGATTATGTGAATATCACGACTTTGCATTATGTACTGTATTTATTAATTTGCCTTGCTGCATGGAGATAATCAATCAAAAGACACTACTTATCGAGCCATCCTGTTACATTCAACCTAGTTGTCTATGATCAACAACAACCTAGATATTTTCAAATAAACAAGCAGAATAATAACACATCACAGTGTATTCGAGCAAGACAGTAGGTACTTATACATACACATAAAGAGGAACCAAGGAAAGCAAACAAAAAAAAAAAAAAAAAAAAAAAAAAAACCCGTCTAT